TTTTTTTTTTTTTTTTTTTTTTAAATAATACCTGCACTATTTCTTATTGTTGTGATTGGCCTTCAGTAACCACAGTGAAATATTTTTCCCTTCTTTTTATAGCAAGAAGAAACAAGAGGAAGAGGAAGCCGAGATGAAGAGAAAGGCTACAGATGCTGCTTACCAAGGTTAATTAGTTTTATTGTTTTATACACGGCTATATTAGCCTTTCTCATGGCAGGTTTGTCTGCACCTTATACAAAATCTCTTCTAAAGAGTTCTGGATGAACAGACATATACACTGATTTGTAATAACAGTGGGCTTGTTTGACTAGCAGTAGTTTATTGTTTTGTGTTAGCCATATATAACTGAAAGTAAAAATATAGATGGTACCATGAATGGTTAACAGAATATAGTTGAATGTGGTGGTGCATATGTCTTTCAGGTCTAAAGCCTTAAAGACAGGAAAACTGGGGCTTTATGTGACCTAGCATGTTTCTTGTGCAAAAAAGATTTATTTATAAAAACAAGGGCCATGGCCACATTGTACTTCTTTCTTGGCACTGGTACATGTCTTGGATTCACATGTAAATAAGCTAATGGGCCCTACAGATCCCCTCACTAATTTAACTCTTTATTTTTTAATGTTTGCCATCTGCGTGAAATCATGTTTGACACTAAATAATATTGATAATAATTATTCATGTTCTTTCTGTACTTTTTAGTATTTTTATTCACTGACAAATGACAAAAGTACATGGAAAATTCACGAGAACCTTTTATATAGGGTGATTAATAGTGATAAAGGAGCATTAAAATTTGATTTGGTTCTGGACTCGCTAATTATAGTACAATGACCAGAAAATCTACTAAAAACACAGGTATATTAAGTAAAATAAAGGGAGAATAAGAGATATAAGGAAATGTTACTTTAGCCAGACATTCTTGCAGAAAGAAGGAAAAATAAAAATAAATTAACATTATATATATATATATTTATATATATACACACACACCTTTTTAATATCTTAGCAGATGAAGGTAGGACATGGAGGCACTGCCATTACAGAGCCAGAGAGGTCCCCATTTTCAACAAAGTATTTCAGTGCCTTACACACATTTTCCTGTCTGGAAGCACATAAAAACAATTTCATGAGTTACATATTGGGCTGCTAGATCTTTTGTTCCCTTTCTGTTCTCAAACAATGTAGCAAATACCAATGAGCCACACAAAGTTTGAAACCAGTAGCACCAAAACATATGTTATAAGATAATGTAAATAAAATGATATACCTAAGGCAAATGTCTCTTTAGACATATGCCTGCACAGTAGATGCACACACAGGTTCAGTAATATGGTCTGTGATCACTACTCCTTGTTTTTTTCAGCTCGCCAGGCAGCTAAGAACATTCCTCGAAGATCTTCAACTGCAATAGGACGTTCGTCTGTTGGATCGTCATCGCCTGGTGGAGAGTTTGGCCTTGGAGACCTGACACCAAGCAGCACAGAGGAGGGAAGTGTGGGGGTAAGAACTCTGCAAACAATAGGGAATTTTATGCATAATTTACATTTACAGCTTCCATGTTTTAATCACTCTCTTTTTCTTTACAGGTAAGTGTGGGGTCTTTACCAAGCACCCCAATCTCCTCCTTCATTGGCATTCCTGATACCCCTCCTCCTACTGCCCCTATGGAGTCCCCGTTGACCCCTGTGATGGACGACTCTCCCCAGAAAAAGACGGGACAGAAAGCAACTCCACCCCCCTCCCCGCTGTTATCGGAGCTTCTGAAGAAAGGCAGTCTGTTGCCTACGAGTCCCCGGCTGGTACGGAACCCCTCCCTGGTCCTCACAGAGGGTGCCCCAACACTACCCATAGTTATGCTCAGGGAGGAAACTCTACAAGTAGTCAAGATTCTTGCCATATTCTTTTCTTTCCTTACAGGTCAATGAAGGGGAAATGACTTTAGCATCTAATCATCTATCTGGATCGGGCGTTCTAATGGATGTTGGCCTTCTCCCCAGTTTGCATGGAGGTGAGATGCACCCTGTTCCAGGCACAATTCCTGCATCTCCAGCAGCATCGGGTATGTGGTCCAAATGCAGATTTGGGAAGTGGGAAACCGATATCCACTATCTCAGTATTTAAATTTTATCTTTTTTTAAATCTGTTTCATAAATCATATTAGATTTTTATCAACTTCTTTTTCTTTTTTATTAATCCCCTTCTCTCCTTTCACTTGGTTCCGGACTCCTATGTTTCCCACACTGTTCATTGGCCCTTTTTCTTCTTTTTTTTTTTTCTGTTTTAACCTTGTTTTTACGTTTTTCTGTCCCTGGCCTCCTGTGTTGTTCTGTTTTCCCGTCCTGTTCTTGATCTGTTAGGTGCTCCCACTCTTTCCCGGCTTCTAGAAGCTGGTCCAGCACACTTCGCTACACCTCTCGCTTCCTTCTCTGCTCCTGCTGCAAGTGAATCTCCGTCTAAATCTTTGCTGACCCCTATAGAATCCCAGGCCACCATTATTATGATGTCAGCCCTGCCAATGACTGCAGCTGTCCCAGGTAACTCTTTGCCTTGGGCTTCCTGCTTGTCTTATGATCTGCTTTACGCTAAAGGGTAGAAGTAACTATAGATATTTATCAATGCTGTACATATTTTCTTCTAGACTTGATCAGAGTGGGTGCATTCTTAGCCCATATAAAATTTTGCTTGAATGATTTTAGTTTGACGGTGCATATTACTAATTCTTTTTGGAAATCATCATTATTGGAAGCTATTAAGGTTAATCTTATCTGACACTACAGTGACCCAGCAGGAGGACAGCGATTCTACCTCTGATCAACACACTGTAACGGTTTCCATGGATAGCAGTGACATTTCCATGATCATAGATTCCATCAATAAAGATTGCTTGGCAAGTAGCGACGGAAGCATGCAAACAAAGGATGAATCATCTGAAAGCAAGGGAGACTTGGACCTAGCAGAAAAGATGGACATTGCAGTATCCTACACTGGAGAGGAGTTAGACTTTGAAACCGTTGGTGACATCATTGCAATTATTGAGGACAAGGTAAAATACACACTATCAATGATAATGGTATAGTTTGTGAAGTGAATTAATAGCTTATAGTTTCATGAACACAGGCTGAACTATTATGTGTTCTGGCTGTGAGTATGCAGATGGAAGAGGGATGACTTCTTCAGTTTACTGCTGTCCTTCACTGTCCAGTTAACAAGCTAGGTGTCTGAATCCTGTGGTAGTCTTGGTGCTGCAGTTGAGATTAGGCAGGGTGGTTGGGTCACAAGACTTGATACAGAGAATTGTATGCATCCAGCAGGTGGAGCTCTAGTCTTCTTTCACATGTGGAGCTGTATCTCTCTCCCCTGTGTTGAAAGATGCAACATTTACTTAATGAATCATCCCTCATTAGATGGTTTAAAGAAGTGGTGTTTCCTTGTATTTTTCACAGTGCAGTCACAGTATATTTTGCTTTTTATACCTTGCTTTTGTGTGCAGTAGAATCTAAGATTGTTATGGTGACCACATGCCCTGCCCCCGTTCCCGACTACGGTCTACAAAGAAGATGGGCCTCTTGATTTACAGCACTTGTCTCTCTGTCCCTGCACATTCTCAACGCGAGCTTGATCACAGGAATACCTAAAAGGAATTGGCACAGGCACTAGAACTGGAAAGGGTGCCTGGTTTTGTGACAGGAAATGCAGGGTCAGTGAGATTAAAGCTTTAAATCAAGAAGCCCGTCTTTGCATCACGTAGTCAGGGGTGGGGAGTTGTACTGTTACTGTCTCAATCTCCGTTTCTAATGCACACAGACGCATGGGATAAAAAGCATTCTACACGGTGGGAGTTAGACGACTGAGCTGTGAAAAATAATATAAGGTGGGACTTTTCAAGAAGAACTCAAATTAACCCTTGCAGTGGGACTACCTCTGCACTTCAAGGGTTAAGTTCTCGTTTTGTTCTAGGGTCTAAAATGAAAAAAGGCTCACCCAATCCTTGATCCTGCGGCGGTGACCGCTCACCTCTCTCCCCCTTTAATTCTGTCTGTGGAATGTCCCTTGGCATTATCATTATGCCCAATGCAAGTTAATGGATTTGTTTTAAACATAAATGTCAGTGGGGCTTAGACCACTGGAACCGGGGGGGAGAAGAGGCTGCGGGGTCAAGGATCTGGTGAGTGTATCTTGCCCAGAGTTCTTTAATCTGAGGTCCTGAGCAGACAAATGGTACCTCCATGCAATCTCTTTTATACCATAATTTTAGTCAAGCTATAGTACTATGGCAATCCCTTGTCATATGTAAAATGTTTAGCTGTTAGTGTGTATAGTAAAAAGAGAAAAAGCAGTTGGAAAACTTTTACAGAAAACAGAAAAAACTCCAAACCATTATAGTTTCCTCTAAAGAAAAACTCAGGCCAGATATGCCGTGTCACAATTTGATGTCGACTTCCTGCATTCTATTTAAAGGAGTGCATTCATATTTGTGTTGGCTAGGATGGCAAAAAAAGCGATTACTTCCACACTTCCTTTCATTATGGTATCTTGCGCCCTCAAACACACAATTGAAGTGCAGAGAAAAGCATGTAGTGGGTATGACCAGGCTCTTAATTTCTGAACATAACACTGGTATTGTTCCTGCACATTTCACTTACTTTACGTATCTGAGGGCGCATTTGTAGACTATACAGGTAAAATGGCTTTTCGTGAAAACATATTTTATATTATTACTGGCTGTGATGAAATTAAACTCCTAATTGTCTTGTATTCATGTTCTCAATCTTTAATAGTCGGCTGATCATCCTGAAGTTTTAGACGTAGCTGCAGTTGAGGCAGCCCTTTCGCTTTGCGAAGAGAATGATGACCCCCAAGCCCTTGGTGGGCCCTGGGATCAGCCTGTCCAAGAGCATTCCGCAAATCCGGAGAACATTGCACAGTCTCTTATCTCAAGGCCCAAAGATTCAACCTGTGTCCAACCAGACACAATAATGAATATGATGGAGATGACTCCTGAAATAAAATCGGAACCTTCTGAGCCTGAAGTGCAGCCTGCCCAGTCAGAGGTGACCTCAATTACTCCTCGTGCAACCTTTCAGCTTGAACAGCCTGAAGATGAGATGAGAAGGACCACTTCACATGAGATGGTTAAAGAAGAGGAAGAAGAGCACCAGCTAAAAACTGAGGTATTTTTACAAATTAGTTACACAGCTCAAATTCATATGCAACTGTACTCTGGATTGGGCAGAGAGATTTGACGTTGTTGTAACCTTTTTGTGCCACCTGTTCTGTTCTGAAATGTATACATACATTCAATTTTAACCTTTTACAGAAATGTTCATGGATTTGCCAGAATTCCACTCGTTGTAGTGGCCTTTTGTTAAGACTTTTTGCTAATTATTGCTCATTTGTGTTATGTTTAGGTACCACAATGTGAAGATTCCCAAAATGAAGCTTTTCCTAGTGAAGAAGATAAAGGACCGGAAGATAGTCCAGTTCTAAGTGGTACAGTTTTAAAAATGTATTTATTAGAGCTGAGTTAGGCTGAGTGGAGCAGTGTTTGACTAATTGTGCATGTTGTTTATTTCCTGCTTTGGTTTCCAGAACCAGTGAAAACCGAACCTCCACCTAGCAGTAACCACAAGGTATCTTGATGTCCTACTATAGTTTTTGCCCTGTTTCTTTGTAGGAATGCAATTGGGGTGTATTAACAAAAGTATTGTCTCTGAAGGACTCGCAAGCAGAGGAGGAAGAGGAGGAGGATGATGTCACAAGTGAAGTTGGAAGTCCAGAGGAGCCCAAAGAAGAGGAGGCTGGAGAAGAGTACCTGTCTGAGATGGACAATGAGCCTCCCATCAGTGAGAGTGATGACGGCTTCAGTATTCATAATGCCCAGCTTCAGTCCCACACTCTTGCTGATTCTATTCCCAGCAGTCCTGCATCTTCTCAGTTGTAAGTAATCTTTTCAGTCTAGGTTGTGTTGGCAGTTCAAATGGAACTATGACCAGGACATTGTGAAGGTTTTCAGAACAGTTGAGGTGGGTTAAAGCCTGTGTGAGTTTTTTATTGACATCATGACAGGAAGCGAGCAGAAAGTGCTCCAGCAGAGGCATACACAGCATTAATGCTTTATTTAGTAGAGTGGGGAGGGTTAGAACTTCTGAGGTTTTTATTTGCTGTAGAGTGTTTCATTTTAAAGAAGTTATCTTAGCAGATTATATATGTTTACAACATCTTATTTTTCTGTGTTTCAGTTCTGTCTGCAGTGAAGATCAAGAGGCCATTCAAGCTCAGAAGATATGGAAAAAGGCCATAATGTTGGTGTGGCGGGCAGCAGCCAATCACAGGTCTGTAATAACCAGCTGTCATAAATTGCACTATATATTTGTTGGACAGGGAAATACAAGTGTATATGTGCCTTGACATGAAAACTTGACTGTGTGGGCAAGTTGTTACATTAAAGCTAAACCATAGGCAGATATAAAAGACACAAATTAATTTAGCTCTCTAATCAATAAAACATTATTAAATTATTATAAATGTGAGCAGTACATTAATTTGACCTTTAAGCGCCTCTAGCAATCTCTGTGCAGCAGGGCTAGAGTGACAGGAAAAAGCAGTAAAATTAATCAATTGGTTCATATGCTGACAAGCAAGTATACTGAGAGGAAGAGCGATGAGCTCATACTGTGCTGCTTCTTTCAGTGTCCAGTCACACGCTATGGTCGATCCAGGGTGACCTAGGCTCAGGGGTAGTGGGTAAAATGATGCTGGCCAACAGACAGAGCTCATCAAGGAGCAAAAAAGAAATTACTGCGAGGGGAACATAAGTATTACATTCTCAAACTTTTTTTTTTAGTTAGGACTCCAGATCATACAAATATACATTGCCCAGCAAAGCATGTCTTTACATTTTTGCCCAAACACTTAGTTATGAAGTTGCTTACAGTTATGAAGTTGCTTCCAAACAGCTGCTTCCAAGTCTCTCAGCTTCCCTGAACTTCCTGTCCTGTACAAGAGACAGAGCAGACTCCAGCAACTGTTCATCTACTAGCTTGGAGAAGAGAGAGGGGGTCGGGAAGTAGCTTGATTTGCTGTGTTTGTGGAGACACACACTCAGCTTACCAGCACACACATGGGTGACTGCATAGTACTCTGCTTGAGAAAGGAGTCACTCTAAAACAGGAAGTCAGGACCAATGCTCAAGTGATCAGCAGATTCAGCAGGAAACTAAAACGTTTAAACACCAAGGAGCAGCATCCATTTTCAGTGATTTCGTCAGCATTTGAAATGGCTTAAAATCCTTTTGACTTTAATATCACTTTCATTTCACTGCAGAGCATATATTCATGTTTTCACTGATTTTGTATTACTGAGATATGTGCAGTAGGCCAACATACCCATACTGAGCAATTTTCAGAGATATACTGAGAGGCTTCTTTCAGACTGGTGGTGTTAAGTATAAGTACACCTTTTATATGAAACAAAGTTCTTACATTAAACCCATGTCAACCGTAATAATTTTATGATGATCTCTCTACATCCAGGTATGCCAATGTCTTCCTGCAGCCTGTAACAGATGACATTGCTCCTGGCTATCACAGCATTGTACAAAGGTAATGTCAAATCTTTGGCCACAATAATCCTTAACACTTTTTGTTTTCCTTACACTTGTCTTAAAATGCCATTGTTATTTAGTTAAATGAAGGAAGACCTATGATTTTCTTGGCTCTGTGAAATATTGACTGTTCTGTTAATATAATTGTGGTTATTTTGCGGTGATGAGACCTAATCAAATCCATAAAAATCAGAAAAAAGATTCTAGCTCAAGTTATTTTGACAAGTTTACTTTCAACTCGGCCCCTAATACATTTTACTACACAACCGGGGCACAGAGCATATATAGTACAAGACTCCCTGCTAATTTAAAACATCTAGTGATCCAAATGTATAAACCCCTTCTTTATTTATTCAAACAATTCCAACACAGGCTGCACTACCACCATTCAAAAAAAACTTTGTTTCAAACAGCAGGTGTTCCCCTCTAGACTTGCTTCCTTCAGAGGTGTTTTGCCCTGTCACAAGGCTTACTCATTGAGGCCTCACTAATTCAGTAGCATTTAGGCTCTGATATAATATGAAAATAATATAATTGAAGCATATTATTTGGCTGCCGTGGACACAACAATTTATTTTTCTTCTGCACATTCATTAAAGGACACAGCAGAACTCTGGGTACAGGAAACAGAGGAAACACAGAAGGGCATTTCTCCTCCTGGACTATACTCCCCTGCATAGGAAATGCTTAGTGCCTTTTTTTTGTTCTAGTTTATAAAAATCTGATCTGTATTGTACTTGCTATCTACAATTGAAGAAAATAATCTATATCAATAAGACTATTCACTACAAAATCTTCATCTAATTCTTGTTTCTCTTCCCTGTAAGGCCTATGGACCTTTCTACGATAAAAAAGAACATTGAGACGGGTATAATTCGAACCACAGCTGAGTTTCAGAGAGACATCATGCTTATGTTCCAGAATGCTGTGATGTATAATAGCTCTGATCACGACGTCTATCATATGGCTGTGGAGATGCAGAGGGATGTGTTGGAGCAGATTCAGGTATGGCTTTGGTTATAAAATGTGTACGGGCATCTTTGCTCTTTGCCTAACTTACTTTTTAATGTACTTGTTCTCAGACTATAGAAAATGCTTTGTTTCATTAGTAATGCATAAGGTTGGTTTTGAAGTTGTATGCATTTGAAGGCTATGGTAACTTTTAGGGATGTCCTGATACAGATACAGGACATTTTCCCAAGTACTTGTACTCGTGAAAATGGCCCTATACATAGCACCGATGCCAGCGCTTTAAAATTTTAAATAGCTTCGGGCTGCTCGTTTTTGTACAAGTGATCACTTGTACAGCAGTCCGCTCCGCCCCCTCACCGCCGTGGTTTTCAGGCTCCCCCGCTCTTCTGGGGGACCCGGGACCACAGCAAAGTAGTTCAGGATGGGGAGCAGAGCGGAGATCAGTGACATAGGAGCACTGTATTCACAGCGCTTCCTGTGTCAGCTGTCACAAACGGAGCTGTACAGAAGATACAGAACATAGGTGCTCTTTCTTCTGTATTGGAGGTCGGGCTCATAAAGAGAGCCAGTCACCTCTGAATGATACCACATAGGGGCTTGTTTTCCCCTGTATGATCTCAATAAAGTTCAAAAAAATACAAAATAATAAAATAAAAATGTTATAAAAAGATTTAAAAGATTAAAAAATATCAACTTTAACTACCTCCGGGCCGTAAAAAAACGGCCGGCCGGGAGCTCTCTAGATCTGAGTGGGCGTCTTTAGACATCTGCTCAGACACGCCCCAGACAGCGGGAAATGGGCGTTATTTAAAAACTTTGGCCACGCAGCTGATTATGCAGACCTCCGAGTCTGGGATAAGCGCTAAGAGTCTGAGGGGCCGAGATTCTACTCGCAAGCAGGACGCCTCTGAAAAGGTACTAATTGCTACATGTGCAAGAGCCAGGCTCCTATATATGCTTTTAGGTCCCTAGAGACCTTCCATAGCATATGTTTACTGCTTAGAGCTTGAAAGATGGATTATTTGCAGAAATATCCATACGGCTGCTATCTGTAGACACTTAAGTGGTGGCCAGTCAGATTTTGTTAGGGTGTGGCTTTTAACTCCACTTTAGAGATGCTCAGAATAGCTTTTAATCTGCTTGTTGGTAAAGAAAATAGATAATATGTTGTTTATGCCTTATGATGATTGATGACCTTGGTGTCGATTTGCGGTCTCCTTTTTAGGTTGGGTTTTCTCATATTAAATATTGGGGATTGACAGTATCACTAGATCCATGTGAGCCACTACAGCATCAGCTTTGTGTAACATGCCTAAATATGAGCAGTGTGGTTTTATTTAATCATTGGTTCCACCCTCTTAGAAATCTGCGGGTGAAGGCAAATATCAAAAATGACTGTCCCTTTTTAGGGCCACCAATATAGCTTTAAATGGCTTTGGTCGAGGACCTCAACATTAGACATTGGTAGTGCTTGTTGCCACCTCCTTTCATTGTGTAATAAGTGTTTTATTTGTAGACAGAGAGGTATTTGCCTCAAATTTGAGTGCACAGCTACAGTAAGTGCAGTGTTCAGTGCATGGACCATGGAACTATGCCACATTGGCAAAGGAGGTGATTGATAATCCACAGAGGGAACAGAGAGGGGAAAGGTAAAAAATAAATAAAGCCCAAATGAAACTACAAGCAAGGTTACTGAAATGAAGAGAAGCGAAGTGCAGTTGGAATTGGGAAATAACCACACAGAGGATGAAGTTTCTGTTTTTGGGTGAACTGATCCCTAGGTTTTAAAGTGAACCTAAACTCAAGTTTAAGTCCGCTTCAAAAACATACTGATGCATGAGCCATAAAAGATGGAGAAGCTATGGTGTGCAAAACCATACCTGTCAATCCTTTGGCACTTCAGTTCAATGAAAGATCCACTTTAATTAATATTTGTCAGATTGAATGATGATCTAGATTTTTCCATAGATATATTTGGAAATAATATTCCCATTTTTTTAAATTCTTTTATTCGACAAGTTTATTCCCCTTTTTTTAAGTATTGCTGTGTTCACTTCCAAGTTCCTAAACTGGAAGTAACTAAGGGTGCCTGATTGTATGATCACCTACTTTGTAAAGCTTCCCGGGAACCCTAAAATCAAGCTGATGATATAGGTTCCTGAAGTTGTGCTTGGCCTTGCCCCTCTTTGATCTTGTACTGTACCATTGGTCCTTTAATGCTTATGGTCATGCTGACCAACAGCCAGGCACCGAAAGGGGCATTATAAAATGGCCTGGCCAGGAAGGGGGTCTAAACACCTGGTCTTGAAGTGGTTAAATAATGCGTTTCGGAACTGAAATCACTATTTATACATTCTGGTTATTCCAACGTCATCAAAGCAGACAAACACTCACAAGAGTTGCCTGTCATGTGGCAAATAATATCAGTGCACCCTACATTTACAATGTACAGTTTGAGTGGCTTTTCACAGAGGAAAATGTATGCTGTACGGTACCAGCTAAAAGAATATACATGTATATATCGTCTCTGATTTCTTCACTGAATTTGAATTAAATGAGTATTTCAGTAGTGGCATCTTATTTTATGTGAGCAGCAAGAGAAGCCAGTGCCGGAAATAAAACCCCTCTCAAACCTTATTTAAGTTTTTTTGTGTTTCCTTCTAATCTTCATGTCAAGTCCTGGCTCCTCTTCTGCTTTTGTGTTGTCAGCTTGTCTGTGTTTTGTGTTGGAGAGGCTCCGTGGAATCTGACCTGTTTTTCTGTTTGTCCTTTAACAGGACAGTGTCCCCATGGGCTCTCCTGCCTTCCTTCTCTCTCTCTTTGTAAGTATTGAATAGGTGCAATGTGATGGATGAGATGAATGTACCAAGATTTGCTAGTCTTCAGTTAGAGCTCTTTGACTTTCTTCACTTTGCTTTGCATCTGTCGAGCAGTGCTTTCTTAGTGCCTCTTTCTGTACTTTGAGCTGTTTTGTTTATTTGTAATCCGCTATGTGCATGTCAAATTTTCTTCAATTTCTGGGTAACAGGGCCAGTTAACTTGCTGTGCAGTGCATGAGAAAGAAGATCTGCTAATTTTTCAGTGTAGCAGTTTAGGTAAAAATGTTTCAAAACAGTGAAATATATACAAATACAGACAGGGTTAATAAAGCAGCAGAAAGGTGAGAAGGCAGAAGCTCCAGCTTAGAATTATCTCAGGTATGTGAGAAGATCTTCTGAGTTGCAGTTATGCCTTTGAAGTGGCTACAAACATTCCCTTGCATGGATGCTTGCATTGCTTTTTACAACACTGTTCCTTTTTTGCCTCCTTTACTGAACAGGATGGTGGTACTAGAGGTCGTCGGTGTGCAATTGAAGCGGATATGAAAATGAAGAAATGAAGTGACCACGGCTTATACATCATAAGGAGTATTTGTAGCCAGTGAAGACTGTATCATGTGATATGTCTATTTAAGCAAATTAGTTTGTAAAACCCCAGTATCTGGGTCTTATAGTGTTGTGTGTCCTCCATGAAGTGGCACTACAGCAGTATTAATCATAACTTGTAGATATGTACATAGCCCAGAACAGCAACTGCTTTTCGTTAATCTATCCAAGCATATTGTAAGTGGAAGTTATGCAGGTTCCACTTGAAATGGGACTGCAGTTCACATCATTTATTTAGGATGGTAAAGAAGTGGCATCTGACATCTACTAAACTGCCCCTGCTCTGTATAGATTTTGGATATATGTTGATAGTGTGAATGTAGAATGACTGGATCAGAATCATGTGAAATAGACATAAATGGAGTTTTACATTTATACATTCCATGATAAGTAGAATTCAGTTCACAGAATATTGTCAAGAGCTATTGAAAGTGTGTTGTCTGTTTTCTGTTTTTTTACATTGTCATAATTTATGGTATTTATTTTGTGGAGTTCTGCACAACATAACACATCCAATAAACAGCCAGTGTTTAGGAGTTAACAAGATATACACTCTACTGTCTCTTGTTTTATATTGAGAGAACCAGTTATGCTCGGGCCTCTGTTTACATCTGGCCATCACTTGTATTTATTCTGATGGCCCAGATTGACATTATGCTAGACTTTTCTGCGTCACCTGCCTGAAGATCAGATTGGGCTTAAGCTTTAAAGGGTCAGTCTACCTAAAAACCAGTTACCTAGTTTTTGGTGGATCATGGTTAATTAAACCATGAAATGGTTTCTTATACCTCTTGGGAACTATAGCAATGAGGTCTCTGCATTTGGTTTCCTAGGTCTACACACTTGTGGTGGCCCACACTCCTTTTTTGATTTTTAATTTATATTATGAGGTATGCCAGGGAGGAGTGAGAACACCACACAGTAAATGATAAGAAGTGTTAGCAGCTTTGGAAGGGAGACCCACAACTGGAGTTCCTGAGAGAATTAAGCAGCCAACAGCTTACTCAGCTAACCAGTTTCAACTTATAACAGAAATTTGTTTTTGTGTCGACTAAGCCTTTAAGGTGGGTTTGGATTTCAATATTCTTATCAGAAGTAGCACATTGGATAGCCTCCAGCAATTTGCATGAACTATGTAAACTGTTAATAAACTCAGAAGTGTAATATAGTCATATTTTCTATATGTTGATTACATTGAAAATAAAAAAACACGATGTTGGCTATATGCTAATGAAAATCTGTTTCAGTGGAATTTGTGTTTGTTCTCTTATGCATAGATTATTTAAACTTTGGGTACACCCTTCTGTAAGTATTCTTATACCATTACTACACGGATTGCAATGAATGTACTGGAGAGGTGTTCAATTGCTGATGGTCTTTAAAATACCTATTATCAGCATTTGAATATGTGTCCATATTGCAGGAAGGCTTTATACATGTAAAACACATAAGCAAGACCAATGGACAGGGATGAAAATAACTTACTTGATGATGTTTGGACTTTATGGTGGACTTGGTAAAACTTCTTATTATAAAAAGATCTGTGCTCTCACATAGTCGCTGAACCTTAAAGTATCACTAAACTCAGGAGTTAAATCTTTAAAATGCATTCAAGTACCTTTTAACATTTACAAATGCTGGACCTTATTTGTGCATCATATGCAGTGCATAGATGGACTACAATCTTACATTTAGTTTACTAATTTATATTGAGATTGTAGTCTATCACAGGAGCGAGCTTGGAGCGGTGCCTACTTTACAACACACACAGGAACCATGGGGAACAAAAGTAGCCAACCTCCAGAAGGAAGGACAGTGTCAGCACCAATTCAGAGATGATTTGAGGATCTACAGCCGAGTGATGCACAACCTACATTTTTGTTAATAGGGTACCTGAATGCATTTTTTTAAAGATTTAACGCATGGTTTTAGTGTCACTTTAAATTTGAGTATTGCATTAGTTGTAGCAGAGTCCAGAATAGTTCAGTTCCAAACACATCAGTTGTGCAAAAATATGTAATTTTGATCTATCTTGACTACGCTGTTTCAGAGATTCCATTTTCTCAGATGTAGGGGGGCTACATTACAGGAGCGGGATCTGCTTATAGCAAAAGCTTTCGGTTGCTGTGCCTTCAGTTTTTACCTGTGGCAGCAGTTCCAGTAAGGGCATTGAAATATTTTTTTGGGAAAGGCAACTCTAAAGACTTGTACATTTAAGTCTCTGAGCTTCTTATTCTGAGTTGCTCCATTCCTTGCTGGACAAACTTGCTTCTGAGGAGTCGCAGTCTTCTGCCATTACACCAAATTAAGAGACCCTTTTGTCTCTTACTGATGCGATGCACGCCACTTTGAAATTGAAGGATCAGCTTGTTGCGTCAATCAATGCTATTCTCAGTCTTGGGTCCTGTTACAGTTTAGCTGCAGCTGAGCTGTCACTTGTAGTTCCACAAGTATGTGCAGACCTCTTAACCCTGGTTCTATAGGCATGCAGGGCTGTGTTGTTGCATGTAGTCCTCAAGGCTTGTGCTCTGTTCCTAACTTGCTCTTGCACTAGTCTAGCAACTGTATGCATCGGCTGACCTCTACTGCTAATTCTTATGCAGCTTCTCAGCCAATCAGTGCAGTCAGCTTGTAGCCAATCCTGTGGTTCCTTCCTCTTGCTCACTCTATTTAAACTCGGAGCAGCTCACGGACCGAGCAACGCTTTCCCAAGCTAGTTGCTGAACTCCTGTTAGCTGATCAGTGTACCGTTTTTTGGATTGTCCACGGAATTCCTTGTTTGCTGCCTGCTCTGATCTTCGGCTTGTTCTCTGGTATCCGTGTCTTCACCTGCCCTGACCTTTTGGCTTATTCCCCAGCATCCTGGTCCACAGCTTTTCCCGACTTCTGGCCCTGTCTCCTTGCATCTGTTGTCTGCAGTTAGCTAAGTAGAGTGAACCTAGGGGTCGCGACCTAGGACCAACACACAGCTAACATCTCAACCATCAGGAGCTCTGATGATAGCCGGATGGCTCTTGGACTCCATGTCCTGGGGGATCCCATGCTATCTACTCAGCATTTCGGCACTGTTACTAGTCCTTGAACTTCCAGCCGAGCCTAACTTCCTCTCGCCTTATCCAGCTCCATGGCTCCTGTCCCTGTTTTGCATGCACCCTTTCATCTATGCCCCCCTGCAGATGCAACTAGAATCCACATTCCAGATCACATATGAGTCCTGATCGTGATAGGTCCTTTAGAGCCCCTAAGACCACAGAAAACCTTCCCAGTGCGCACACTGTTCCATGTCTTTCTTTACAGAGATTGGAAACACACTAACAAGATGTTTGCTCCCCCAAGCATTTACTAGCCTTGTATCCTTTTGAAGAGGACTAAAACATGGTCTTCCACACTGGATCCAGCAGTGTCCTTTTTTTTAACAAAGTGACCGCTATACAAGTGGAGAATGCACCTCTCTTTAAATTATAACTCCAGCAAAAATGTTAACTGCTCATTTTTATCTAGGGACTAAAAGAAAAGTTATACTAACCCGTACCTTGGAGCCAACTGTGTGTCACAGCGCTCCCAACAACCTCTATCCTACGCTGCGGCAATGGTATCGTCATCATGTCCCATACACTGTGTATAGAACTTGATAACTCAGGGACCTTAGACCACTGCAGCAGAGGGGAGAGAGACCCTGGAATGACCAGTCTAACAAGCTGGCTTGGGGAATTGGGAGTGTACCACCTTATTTTAGTTCCTAGGTGAAAGTGAGCAGTTAATCCTTGCTGTGTCAGGGTAGCCCCACTGCCAGGGTTAATACAATTTTTTCCTGGAGTTGTACTTTACGCATCCAGACAAGTAGTTGGCTAGGTCAAAATCCCTTAAACGGGAGCTTGTCACAGCTGCAGATAATCCCATGATCATAGAAGGTTTGGACAAGCTGCTGAAGTTTTCCTGTCTCATCTTCTACATGGGTATCCTGTTAGTACTCATGCAGAGGATACCAAAGAAGCTCAACGTATAGACTAATAAGTAATTTTTATTACATCACACCCCCAACATCAAAGTCCATATCCCAAAACTTGGCTCCCAATCCCCTTGTAAGACCGGTGCTTGAAATCCAAACCCTCAGAAAAACATCCGCTGCATGAAAAGTGCCCCCACTTTTCCAAGTTGGAAGACATACGTTAGACTTTATGGACACTTGGACAGGCTGTGTCTCATGCTTGGGTATGGGAGGTGGCTCCCAGGGACTACAAGCTAGAGTTTCTTCCCTGTCCTCTCCTTGGTTTCTCACCTCCAACCTTCCTGTTTCACCGCACAGATTAGCAGATCTTCATTGAGTCATTTTAGACCTTCTGGATCAAGTTGTTAGTGCCCCACTTTCGGTGGCAGAACTGTTTTAGAGGTTTTACTCCAACCTGTTCAGTTCCCAAACCCAAAACGGGGCATCCATCCCATCTTTATTCAAGCTTAGAAAATTCTGCATGGAATCGACCAGGTCTGTCATCTCATCCCATCTTGACCATTAAGAGCAGTGGTCCATCTCTCCTATGTGTTGCCAACACAGGGTGTTTTGACCTTTGTTGCAGAACTTAGCAGTTTCACAAAAGTAGAAGAGCAGATGCATTACAATAATAAATCATGAGGGTTTCATTAAGCTTTACTGTTACATTACCAATTTGTACAAACAGATTTGTTTCATGGGTGCTTGGCAAGGGACAATTATTTTAAATTAAAACATCCACTATGTCACAAAGCCACGCAAGGTAGTTGATTAGGGAGAAATCTCAAAAAGCAGCTCTAAAAGGTCATATTTGTCTTAAACACTTATTTAAATGCATTATTTACTTATAAGATTCACATAAACAATTTAGCTATTGTGTGTATTTAGCCCTGTTTTTTTTTCCTGTTCGCCCTTAATTATACTGTTTTGTGTCCTGCCTGCGGCACAATTGTTCTATGAATTCTGGAGGTCAACACCGACTTTATTCTGACCATTCTAT